CTAAGACACTAACGAAGGTGGTCTGTGTCACATCCCATTGGTAGGAGCTTGAAGGGGAAATGTGTGTCCAGAAGTTGGGCAAATAGGCATCTTACAAGATGAGAGATATTTAGGTAATACTAATGCTTGGTAGGCTACCTGCCTTTGACAGAAAAGAAATCATTTATTACACGTATAATCATCATAGCCCTACAAAGACAGTGTTTGTTTAGTTGATGCTTAACAATATTATCTTGAAACTTGTGTTTTTTTAAGTGACATCCAGTGATGCCGTGGAACATAAATGTGACAAAGGGACATATTTGCACACATCCACTCCTCCCTGCTGTTCCATGTGGGCGCATCATTCATAGCTGCCTGTGTGACCAGAATTCCAAGAGTCCATCTAAGATGAGGTGTTTCGCATACAATAGAGAAAAGGTCGGGTAGTTCTGAGACTCAGTGCTGGAACCAGAAACTGCTTCCAATGTACATGTCAAGGGCAGCATCCTGAGAAGCAAGTTACTGTGCCCTGTCTTCCTATGTACTGCTTCCTGCAAGAGCCAGCCATTTACACCACAAATGAAGCTGGCACAGTGGGTGAGAAGACAATGTCTGATATATCCATAGCTCTCCTCAGCCCTTCCTTCCTCCCCAGGAGCAGAAGGCTGAGTGCTGCTACCAACTGTGTCTGTAGAAGGATGGGAACTACAGTTGAATTGGCTTCAAGCATTGTTGCTTGGGTAACACACCTATGACCTCTGAACCATGGGATTTGGGTGATTCCACACACAACTCAAATGCTTCAGTGTTTGCCTTTTAAGTGGACATTGCATAGTAGAAAGGTTGGCGGCAAAAGTTATACTGGTCACTTAAAATCCATCTTTCTTTACTCAGTGTCGTTTAGTATTAGGAAACAGGAACATGATGAGCCAAGAGAGAGAAGGAAGAAAGGAAAGGCTTTCCACTTCTGTGCTTTGATTGGTTTCTCCTGCACAAGGGAGTGGACATCTGTGTTGCCATGCTGTACTAGCTCCCTCAAATTATATAACTGGTTCTGACTGGTGGAAAAACTCTTCCAAAAGCATATCTTCAATGGTTGGCGTTCTTCTTGAAATGTCCATGCTATGAGCATTTAGTGGATACCTACTCTTTGAGCCAAGCTTTGTGATACTTGATAGGGCTAAAAGAATCAATCATCCAATCCCATTTCTAAGTGATGCTGAGTGACACAAGTTCAAAGCCAGGGAAGGGGACAGTGGTCTTCAAGTGCAGGGAGACCGAAGCTCCCTCATTAGAGGAAGCTCTGAGAGAGAAGCCTCACCGCAATATTTCAAGAACACTCAGAGAAATAGAGACCCTTACATGCCAGATGGGTTTCACAGTCTTATTGTGGAGTATTAGTTTAAGATGTGTTACATTTGTTTATGCTGTGGAATATTTGTTTAATGATGCAAAGATGTGTTACATTTTGTTGTTGTTGTTGCATCTGTTTAACTCTGTGAAGCTGTGTTACTTTGCCTGTCTAAAACAACTGATTGGTCTAATAAAGAGCTGAATGGCCAATAGCTTGACAGGAGAAAGGATAGGTGGAGCTGGCAGGAAGAAAGAATAAACAGGAGGAGAAACCTAGGGAAAAGAGAAGAGGGAGGAGAAAGAAAAGGAGAAGCATAGGAGGATGCCAGGGCCAGCCACACAGTCAGCCAGTCAGCCAAAGCATAAGAAGGAAAGAAAAATACAAAAATACTTTATATTATCAGTAAAATTCCCACAGACTAAATGTAGTTAAAGAGAAACTGGATAACTTAAATTAGAAAAGCTTGCCAGAAACAAGCCAAGCTAAAGCCAGGCATGCACAGGTAAAAATAAGTCTCTGTGTATTTATATAAAAAAGCAACTACACAGTTTGACATAATTTTCTTCATTTTTGCAAGCCCCAGACATACTGGACAATTTCTGCCCATTTGCTTTGCTTCTCTTTAAATGTCCTTGAGCCTGCCCTCTTAGTGAATGGCTTAAACTGATTGTTTCAAATGAAAATGCCATAACAGAGAAAAGAGAACAAACAGTAAAACAAAATCACCAGGTATTGGCTCTTTTAAGTTTTTATTAAACTAGAGAAACAAGTATCTTGTGTGTATTAAAAATTGATTAACAGAGATCTTTTAAAACATGAAGTCCATGTTGACAGAGGAAGAAAGAACTCCACGTTGGTCATATAGGGTTGAGAACCCTGAACGGTCATCCCATTGCCTTGCCAAGAAGGGAGCCTGCCCACTGCTTCAGAACATAGCAGGGATTTGCCAGAGAGGTTTGCCTTACACTTCCAGAGTCCTCTGTAATGCTCTGAGTTCCTGTAGATCACAGCCTTCAAGAGAGGTAGGATGAGGCTATTGGAAGCCCCCACAGGTGTGCTTGAGGAGTAGGCAGTGCCTTAGTTATTGTTCTATTGCTGTGAAGAGACACTATGACCAAGGCCTGCCTCTCTGTGCCCCAGTTGTGGCTGTGTGTGTGTGTGTGTGCCTGCTCATCTCTTCCTGCAAGTGAAGTTAAATATCAGTGACCAGTACTTAGAGGGAAGCAGCTGTATCTTCATAGATTCCTTAGAGCTAGGAAGTTCAAGGCTCATGGTAGACACTTGATGAACACACTCTGTGGGGGAGGGACTGTGTTGCCACGTAGACCCTCTGTGAAAGCTAAATAGCCATTAATGTCTAGTTTTAATAGTATGTTTCAACATGGAATTGGGAACATGCCTGTATGTCTCTGGTCCAGCGGTTTTCTAGTTTGTGTGGGAGGACTTCGTTTTCAAAGAAAAATCCTACCTGGGAGCTGACACATAACATAATTTCAACTCTGGACTGTTTGTGCTCTGTCTAAGGCTTGCCTCCCCCACCCACAGGTACGGATAGGAAAACATGATTCACTTACCTAAACACACAGAACCTAATACTACTACGACACTCTAGGAACTGGGAGGCAGCAGAGAACAGGACCTGCTTTCTCCTCTACAGCAGACAGCAAAGGTAAGTTTAGAATGTGGCGATTGCTGTCAGTGGGACACGTTGGGGTACTGGCGTCTAGCTGTGAACTGCCCTATTTCAATCGGGAGACCAAGCAAGGCCTCAAGGAGCTGGTTGACACAGGAGCCAAGGTCAGAATGACACTGGTGATAACCTGATGCTGGCCAATGAGAACAGACCCACAGACTGAAAGTGACTTTTCCTAGGCACCCAGACAATGCTTAACTCTGGGTTTCTAGGCCCCTGTACCCAGGGTTCCTTCATTTCACAAACATTAACTAAATAGTTACCACATGTGAAGAGGTGACATCCAAGGGCCACAAGCCACCTCACTATGTTTTGCTGTTGGGTGCTGTCTGTGTATCAGTGCTGAGCTGAAACCCTCCCTCCTCCTTACCCTGGCCCAGGACAGGACTTGGTTCTGAAATCCCTGTTCCACAAAAGGCAGAATTCTGCAGGGAATGCCCCAAAACCTGTGTCCTTGGGAAACAACTTCTTCACCTCCTACTTTCTGGAGAGCAAACTGTAGGGCCCCCTACAGCCCAAAGCAAGATATCAGATCAGATCACCCATGTTCTCCTGGGGTTTGCTTTCTGAGGAAGGAAGGCTCCCACGGTGTTTGAAGACTTTCAAAGCCAGTTTCTTTGTTGTGCTGCCGAAGACGTTTACACAGAAACTGTGGGAAGCCTGTCTATAGTTTCCACATTTCCAACTGAGAGTCCAGACACAGACTCCAGACAGACAGACACCCCTCTGGTGCTGAGTGTAACAGCTCCCTTTCCTACCACAGAGCAAGTAACTACAGACCACCAGGGCTTTCCTATCCCCTTGCCTAAAACCCCGCCCCAGGCATCCCCTGCATTGTTCTTCCAACTATCTAGAAGACAAATAAGACCATGGTACTGGCCCCACTGTGCACCATAAGCCAAGAAACTCTGACAGTCTTTCTGAGAAACAGTGCCAAGACACAGTCATGGCAGCTAAATTCCCTACTAAGTTCTGCTCTAAACCCACCAGCTGTTTCCATAATGATTCATAAATTAAACACAGACCATCTAATCTGGTTCCATACTATCCTTATTCTCTCCTGACCCCTCTATCACCACCCTGTGCTCTGGAGTACACTTAGGAATGTTCTAGAAGTTGTCTCTTTTTTGATGTCCCTTCTAACCTCCTGTCCCAGTATGTGTCACTTGTTGCCGTCTCTGGTCGCTTCTTCCTGTGCACTCTGAGGTCTCGACCAAGTTAAGGTGCCAACCAGTCCTCCCCTCCTCTACTTTCCAGCTAGGTCTCCACGTGAGCACTGTATAATACACAGGAAGCTGGTACATCCCAGAATCTTCTCCCTTTGCCTTAGCCTAGGAGGCGGTCAGCTGCAGACAGAGGAATCAGCACACAGGTGACAGGCCTGCAGAACTCCGATTCCACTAATGCACAGCGGGGCCCTGGGGCCTGTGGACAGCCCCGTCTGTGAAGACAGACTGCCTGGGAACAATCCCCCAGTGTCCTGGACTCGGCAGCTGCCAGCAGTTAGCAGACCCTGCTTTTCATGGGGTCCTGCAGCCTTGCCTCCTCTAACAAACAAGAGGCAGCCCCCGCCATTTAGGGCGAACAAAGAGGGGGACATTTTCCAGAGGGACAGTTCTGTACGGGGCGTGCTGCGTGGTCCAGGCTCTCAGAGGCCCAGCGAGAAGTTAACAGGAGCCCTGAGCAGAAAGGCAAGGCGGACATTTAGAGTAGTACCGATCGCCCCCACCCCCTTCTGCTGAGCATAGTGCAACACTCACTCAAGCACCCTACCCGGGTCCCCCCATGGGATCCTGTCTCACCCTCGCTCAAGGGCAACTTCTCTGCCCACCGAGCCCCTCTGGGGTGCTGCTGGAGACGGGCACTGAGTTGGGGCGCCCTGCCAGGACAGCCTCCTGGCACTTGGTGTCAGTCCCACCAGCAGCGCGCATGTCCCCCGCCACCGCCACCGCCACCCCCACCTGCACTTACCGGGCCACAACGGGCTGGACGGGCTGGACGTAGCTAGGGATCAGGAGCCGGGATCGTTGCCTGTGGCTGTCCTGTCCACCCCGCGCTCCCTGTCTCTCCGGCTGGCGCCCCTCTCGCGCAGACTGACCGGCCAGCAGCGGGGACGCGCCCACAGGCCCGGGGCGGGCAGGGACCCGGCTGCTCTTTGTTTGGAACTCACTGCCCCCTTCCTCCTCCCCCCAATTCAGAGCACACGCAGCTCTTGGTCCCGGCAGTCGTGCAGAAGTGGCCCCGAGAAACTTGTGCGGAGGGGGGCGGGGCGGCGGAGGAGGAGAGGCGGCTGGCCCTCCATCCTTGTCCCACCCACTCACTCTGTAAGCCTGGCTCAGACTCAGATTGGTCCTCCTGAAGTGGGAGAGATTCAGGAAGAAGTGAACCCGAGAGGGGCTCCATGGGGGGTGTAGAGACAAGCCTCCCACTCCTTCCCTCACTCCCGAGACACCAGAGCCATCTCTCAAAGCCCCCATCCTTTTCACCCTCCTTGGAACCTTAGAAAAGCCACACCCCTTCCTAGACTGGAACACAATGGAAGGGCAGACAGCAAAGGCCCAGTCTTTGCCAGTGGCTGAAGCTGCTGAGCCCAGCTGCCCAGCAGTGGGCGAGCTCCCTGTGTGATTTACCAGACAACCCGTAGTCGGCCAACCTTGACCTCAGTGAGCAAGGCTTGCTGCTTCTTAGATATTTTCCATTTTGCTGTGTCAAAATACCTGGCAAGGGCAACTTAGGAAGGGTTTGTTCTGGCCCACAGAGTGAGGGTACAGTGAGTCACAGACTGAACCACACTGTGACAAGAGCAGAGTTAGTGGGTCACGTTGTGTGTGCCGTCGGGTTACCCCAGAGAGCAGGTTATGCTTATGTCATTTTATTTGTGTGTATATTCATGTGTGCGCAAGTGTGTGTGTGTGTGTGCTCTAGAGGTTATTACATAGCATAATTTCCCCTTTGTTTCCTGAAGGCAATAATTGCCTTCTTCCACTCTCTACCGCGTTGTTAACAGTGTGAGGCCCTTACAGGACATGAGTGTCCACTTTGGGGCTGCTTTGACCTGCAGAACATGAGCCAAGTGGACTTCAATTCTTTATATTCTTCAGTCTCAGGTATTTTGTTGAGGCAATGGAAGATGGACTTAGATAGTGGGATGGAGGGGCTTAGGGAGGTGACAGTGATAGTATCCGAGAGAGAGGAACCGGGTATGGGAGTAGTGGAAAAGATTCAAGGAGAGAGGTCTACAGAGCTGAGCTGGGGAGGAGGAGCCTGTGAGGGAGGGGCCTAGGGTGTGAGGGAGGGGCCTGGGGTGTGAGGGAGGGGCCTGGGGTGTGAGGGAGGGGCCTGGGAGGTGAGGGAGGGGCCAGGGGAGGTGAGGGAGGGGCCTGGGGTGTGAGGGAGGGGCCTGGGGAGGTGAGAGAGGGGCCTGGGGTGTGAGGGCGGGGCCTGGGGAGGTGAGGGGGAGCCTGGGAGTGTGAGGGAGGGGCCTGGGGGAGGGGCCTTGGGGTGAGGGAGGAGCCCGGGAGTGTGAGGGAGGGGCCTGGGAGGTGAGGGAGGGGCCTGGGGTGTGAGGGCGGGGCCTGGGGAGGTGAGGGGGGAGCCTGGGAGTGTGAGGGAGGGGCCTGGGGGGAGGGGCCTTGGGGTGTGAGGGAGGAGCCCGGGAGTGTGAGGGAGGGGCCTGGGGGTGTGAGGGAGGAGCCCGGGGGTGTGAGGGAGGGGCCTGGGGGTGTGAGGGAGGGGCCTGGGGGTGTGAGGGGGGGACCCGGGGGTGTGAGGGGGTGGGAGTTGATATACTGGAAACTTTAGAAGTCTGGAGGAAAGCCTGGAGTGGACAAAGCTGAGTTCATTGAGGGGAGCCAGTAGGGTTTGGGGTTTCTCAGGGGAAGGTGCACACTCGTGTGCTGGATTCTGGAAGTCCTAGGAGAGGGTGGACGCAAGAGATGGACTGATGAAAGAAGGGGCGAAGGAGGAATGCAGAAAGGAAGAGCAGACAGAACCGAAGACAGAACCCAGGTCGAAGGAAGAGATGGAGCCGAGGGAGGAAACGGACACCATTGAAAGCGACCTTGGAGGAAGGCTGGGGCAGCGGGGTTACAGAAGGTGAAGAGGGAGGGCCAACGGCCCCTCATTATACAGGGAGAGCAATGAAGAGGGAGCTCAAGAATACAGATGTAAGGTTTGACTTGGAATTAGGACTCTTGGAGGCTTTGAAAATAATTACTTAGTGCTGGCTTGTATAAACCAGATGGTCATTTGCCATGATTCGGGTCTTAAACATCCCCTGTGGCTTGAGTGTTGAAGGCTAGGTCCCGAATCATGGTGATTTGGGAGACTTGGACCTTTAAGAGATGGGTCTGGTGGAAGGTCTTCAGGGCACTGGAACAGGACCCTTACAGGGCTATGAGACCTCTGGCCTCCTCTCCTGTCTTTGCTTCCTGGGTGCTGTGAAGTGAGTAGCTCTGATCCACCACATCATCCCACTGTGGTGCTCTGATCTACCACAAGCCCACAGCAATGCGCCTGAGCAACCATGAGCTGAGAGCTTTGAAACCGTGAGCCAAAGGAAAGCTCGTCCTCCTGAGAAGTCGTTTATCTCAGGCATTTTAGCACAGTGATGAAGAGCTGCTCCACGCACTACTCTCAGCAGAAGGAACGTAGGGATCCTGGATCCAACTCGCTGTTGCAGGGATACAAAGGCAAGTCTCTCGGTTACATTCTAGAGGGCTCTGAAGGCCACTCCCACTCCGCAGCTTCCTAAAGGAAACCCCAGTTCAAGTCCATTCTCCACCTAACCCTGTTGGCTTCTGTCTTAAGGTTTTCTGGAAGTACTTTCTCGTGGACCTTCTACATGCAAATCTCCATCCATTGCACAGTATGGCAAGTGTGTCTTAGTTTATTTTCTGTTACTGTAACATGGCAGAGGTTATATAAAAAAGAAGTTTGTTTAACTTCATGGCTGGAGGCTGGAAGTCAAAGAAGCCAAGGCTTTATCTGTCTGGCTTTTGGATGTAGGGACACTGAGGAGGGGTTAGTAGTACAGAGAGCAGGCTGTGAAAATAAAGCTGAAACACCCCACATGAGCACTAGGATAATGAATAGTTAACCACAGGAGCAAGGCTTGGGCAAGCCTATGGTATGATGGTCTTCACCTTGACCTAAAATGAGGCGGTTCCCAGGAGCAGGGAGGGTCAGAAGAGGGATCTTTGAATGACCCTAGACACCAGAAGATAAGGAAACATCTAGGCTAGCATATTCCTTCTCTAGTAATATCTCTAGTAACATTGACTATCTAGAACAAGAAATACAGCTTTTAAGTTGAAGGTTGCCTGGAGCTATGTTTAAACATATGGAAATAGAGGGGGGAGGGGCAATGGTAAATGTTAACAGGCCCTCAGACAGGAGGAGGAAATATTCCTGCAAGAGGATCTGTTGCATGGCATTGTGGGTATAGCTAATGTCTAAGCTTGCTTTCACATAGTACCTGAGATTGGATAATCTACTTTTGAAAAGAGGTTTATTAACTCATGGTTCTAGGGACAGACAGCCAAGATGATGTGGTTGTATTTGGTGGAATGTGGCTAGCAGAGGGTGGGACCTGCAAAAGAGACAATGGCCAGAGAAGGGGACACAGTAACACTGCGATCTCAGAGAAATGAACACTGTCTCTCAAGGAATCTCAAATCGGTCTTAAAGGCCCCACTTCAAAACTCCCCTACACTGGCTATCAGCTTTCAGCCTGAGTTGTGGAAAACTGTTCAAACCACAGGCGCTCATCCACAAACACTGAATATTTCAGTAATGTGATGAGAGCGACCCTCCGATGCTCTCATCACAAAAAAAAGTCAAGTGCTGTGTGTGATGAATGGGTGAGTTAATTCGTTTTATCAAGCCATCCCACATCGCATTAAAAATCATAACATCTCCTTCTAGCCCATAAATATATGCAACTGTGATTTGTCTGTGCAAATTCAATCTGTAAAACACCAGGTGGAATTCATTTTAATGACGTGTTTTATTTAACGCGATGCATTTAAAATAGTATCGGTTCACACGTTAATATAAAAATTAATAATGGGATCATTTATACTTGACTTTCTCCATCTCACAGTTCTGGTGTGCCCTGGTGGTGCCGTGGGGGACAAATGATGGATGGTCCACTGCTCAGCAGCCCTCGGTGTGCCGGCTGCTTGCTTTTGCTGAGCATCTGAGTCCCGGCACTGGATTCACCAGAGCTTATGTGCGGATCGCAGAGCCATTTGAAAGCAAAGTGCAGTGACACTCGGAGGCAGCATAGGCACTCGAGCTCTCCAGTTACCAAACCAGATAATGAGTTTTACATTAAAGTTTAGGCTGAATGAACAAAAACAGATAGACAGACAGACAGACAAACCGTTGTCCTTGGCTTGCACTCAGCACCTGCTTTTGCTCACTGAGTGTCCCAGCTGGCCTTGAACTTCCGGTCCTCTTCCCTCTGTCTCTCAAGTGCTGGGATTACAGGCATATGCCTTTGCACTTGGATCTTCACACATCTGGAGAGTTTAATAGCTGCGTGTGCCTGTGGTTTCAGAGCAGGCAGGAACGGAACCTGAAAGTCACACATACCCGCGCATGTACACACACACACACACACACACACACACACACACACACACACACACACACAGGGTGGGAGGGAGACAGAGGCAGCCATGAGGAATGTAGCCTATTGCAGCTGGCTCTCTGAGCGCATGTAGACCCTTGGCTTGGCATTCAGGAGTTCACAGGTCAGGAACTGTACAACTTGTATCTCCACCTTGGAGCATCAGCCTGTCTCTTTCAGAACCATTTCCAACCACTACCTAGGAGACTTGGGAGGCCAAGAAGGTTTCCTTGGCAACCCAACCCTTGCCCGGCTGCCAGCTTTGCTTGGTTACACTGCTGACGCTGCTTCCGAAAGGCACCACGTGTGCTCTTGCGGAGCCATTCTAGGAGAAGTAAGTCATGCCCTTGATGTTGGAGGGAGTGATCCAGATACATGTCACAGACAACTTGCCTGCCTCGGTGGCGGTGCTTCCTCCTGACCTCACAGAGCAGAAACTGGCCTTCGTTCCTTGATCCATGGTTAGAAACAGGACTGGGTTGCCACTTTTTTGGCGCCTTCCCCTTTCCCAGGAGGCCTGGGAGTGACTGACTACTAACTGTTGATCAGTAGCGACCGGCCGCACTTAAGTTGCATTTGACCATGAACTTGGCTGGTGAAGCTATGCAGCTTTTTTTGTTTTGTTTTGTTTTGTTTTGTTTTACCTATGCCTAATGCTCAGTGTGTAAAGAAATGGTGGAATTCAGCCACGTGGTGTTGGTGTAATTCCCAGGAAAGCGATGTTATAGCAGAAGCTGGAGCTTTTGAGCTGCTGTTGGGTATACTTCTGTGACACCCGGAACCTTAGTCGCACTAATTAGTAC